GGGGGGGGGGGGACAGGGAGGTTACAGGAGGGCGAGGGCGAGACTGAGGACGCCAAAAGGGCCAGAGGTCTATGCGTTCGTGTCGTCCTTTGGGGCTTTCTCATATTTTTAAGATTTGCTCTTTAAGCCGTCTCACGTTTTTTTTTTTTTTTCGTATTCTTATTTAAAATCGTGCCTATGCCAGCTCTTACCAAGCGTGGGTGGCATTCGTCCGATCCTTTCTTATAGTATCATTTTTTTTTGTCATTCTATCCTCATTTTTTTTTTGTATTTTCAGTCTGTTTCCCTCACTACGCACTATTATGATCTTTAATCCCCCATTCTGTCGAATCATTTTCTTTTATTAACGACCCAAGATCGTTTCTGGCTCTCCTTTTGTTCCCTAATAAAAAAGAATAAAAAATTGTAAGGATTTCGAAAAACTCATTATTCCATCAGATTATTGTAAATACCAACAACATGACTCACAATGCACTCACGATGGAATTCCTAACCTCATCGCCAGTTAATATAAGATATTCAGGCGTCGATGCCTCTCGCATTGGCACGAGGCACGAGGCACGCCCTTGGTTCCTTGGTCTGCAACAAGAGGGAAAAGTCGACATGAAAAAAAGAGAGGAGCAAGAGTTCTTCGTGTCCCTCCGCAGATTCGGAGGTCCCGTATGGCTCGACGGATATAATGCCGAGGCATAATGTGCGCCGAATCCTCTTTCCCTGCGTTCCTTCATCAGGATATATACGCCTTCTATAGTATACATATATATAACCACCCATCCTCTCACGATCCACCTCCCTCCCCTCTTCCTTTTTTTCTCTGGGAGTCTCTCCTCTTCACGATTCTCTCTTTCTCTCTTACTATTCCTGCTGCTCGTTCTGCGTTCTCTCCCTCTCCGTGAACACACGCATGTGTATTCGCGATAGTATGTACCTGTACACGTGTACAAGCGTGCACGAAACGCGGAACGGGCCCTCGTCTTAAGGCCCAAAGGGCCCAGGATCGCGGCGGCGTGCCGCGGCTCAAGAAATATTCGACAATTTTTAAACTCGTTTCTGAACGCATTCAAACGCCGGCAAATATTTCTCGGAATCGGCGACAGCACAGCCGGTCGTTTCACATACTTGCTCGTATACGGGTATTCCGTGTGCACTGAAAATTCTTCAGTACACGTACGAAAACGGTTGAGCTAGCGATCAAGATTTTTCGCCATGGTGTATCTTTATTGTCTTTGCCGAACTTTCGTTGTTGTGCCTCCTACGGGGTTGTACGCGTTGAATGACCTACTGATTATACGGATGACGAAAAAACTGCTAGTTTTCTTGCTGTACTCTAAATATGGACGATATACGTACGTGAACTCTGTCGGTGAGATGCGTGTTACTCCTCGAAATACATTGGGGCCTCAATCGTGACGGGAACTGTATTTGCCAAACACTTTCCAAGTGCGATAATTTGATAATTTCGTGTGCCCCGATATTATCCGCTTTCGAACCGGGCACGCCCGAGGCGTCTTATACAGTACCATTGTTTTTGCATATGCGTATTGTGATCGGGTTGGTTATCTTTTTTTTCTTTGGCTCGGTCCATTCTTCTCTCGGTCTGTTCCTTTTTTTTTTCGTCTTACCTTTATTTCGCGTACCGCGGCGCCCAACCAGTTTTCGGCCACTAGCATGCTTGAGCGTGGGTCGACGAACGGTGTGCTCATAACTCTTGATATGTGTATCGGAAATTGGCTCGGCGATGTCGGTTTTTCTTACGTCTGATTCGTGCGCCATCTGACCTTTGATTGTCGTAACCGTCGGTACAGTAGAAATCGAAGGGAGCGCCACTTCTTAGCTTGATTTACTGAATTATCGACACAGGGTAATTTACCAACCGAACATATTTGTAATAGCGTTTTTGACTGACTTGATTCATTCCACCGGATGTAAGGTGTAGCACCGTGTTTACTCTATTGGCGGGATCCTTGGGCTCGTATAAAGTTTATGTTCGATTCTAATTTTTCGTGTGCTCCGAATTGCAGTGGACTGTCTTATTAGACTTACCTACCCAGTACACTGTATGACACTCGCACGATGCACCAGTTGCGCCCAACGAATCTACACCTGACACTCGGTGCAAGAAATGTTGTCGGCCAATTGAAAATAGTATAAGAAATATACCGGGAGTCCTAATTAAAATTTTTAATTCGTAATAACAGACTCGTTACTCGGAACCTTCATTCTTTTTTGATCCAATGAATCTTATCGTATGTTTCAGCTCTTCTCAGACAGAGTATGTCACCGGTAACAGAGACTCTTATTGGCAGTACAAAGTCACCCGTACCACAGCCGATAATTGATTACTCCCGATACGTGAGGAGGTACACATCAGGTCAGGAGTGCGGTAGTTCGTACTGCAAGGAACTCGGCTGCAGAGAGCACTTTCATTGTCTGGACTGCAGTGGTAGGGTGTTTGTGAAAAAGGAAGAGATGATCAGGCATTTCAAGTGGCACAAAAAGAGGGACGAATCTTTGCAGCATGGTTTCATGAGGTATTCGCCAACTGACGACTGCTCCGAGAGGCATCCCGGTCGGGCCTGTCCTCACAACAGAAAACAGACCCATTACCACTGCATCCATGAGAATTGCGACAAGGTTTACATATCGACTTCCGACGTTCAGATGCATGCTAACTATCATCGAAAGGATTCGGCTATCATACAAGAAGGCTTTCAGCGATTTCGCGCTACCGAGAGTTGCGGTGCTGAGCACTGTCCCTTTGCTGGTCAGAGGACCACACATTTTCATTGCAGAAGAACTGGCTGTCGGTTCACTTTTAAAAACAAGGCCGACATGGGTAAGCATCCTTTATTTAATTCTTATGCTCGACTTTAAATTCTCGACTTGGCCAACTAACGTGTTTCTTCTTTCCTACCATTTCTGGTATTCTTTCAGAGAAGCACAAATCATATCACATAAAGGATGAGCAACTCTCGCGCGACGGGTTCAAAAAATTTATGAAGTCCGAAGACTGTGCCTTCGAGAAATGTCGTTTTTCTCGTGTGTGCAATCACATCCACTGCATCAGACCACATTGCAGCTACGTGTTGCATTCATCCGGGCAGCTATTTTCTCATAAGCGCAAACACGAGCGCCACGACTCTGAGGTGGCGTATCGCAAGTACAAGCAAGTTGGTGCCGTAGGTGGGATAAGACCACCAGGTTCCTGGGCACCTGATGATCTCACGGGACAGAGTTTAGCCTTGAGTCTCAATGGAGAGAGCTCCAATGAGGGTAGAGGCTCACCCTCCTACTATTCTATGGACGATTCCTTCCAAAGTGCTAGTGACCTAGCTATGGACCTAACGGCACCAGCATCCGCAGGTCCTGGCACCTCCAACCTTGGTATAGTCGTTGAGCAGCAACTGACACCTGCCGAGCTGACATACCTGGCGCCAGCATCAGCAGACTGTCCTTGTCACTTAGGCAGGGAACATCACCACTGTGGTCTTGATCGTTGCGGAGCCACCTTAAGGGATCCCCGCGAAGTGCGTGAGCACTTGCGCGAACACGAAACTCAGGAACGCATCACAGATGCATACTTCGAGGAAGGTGGTTGCGAAGACAGCTGTCCCTATGCTGACAAAGAAAAGCATTATCATTGTAATTGGGAGAATTGTCGGGAGGTCATCCTGGCGACCGACAAACCTTTCAGAAGGCTTCAGCACTATAAGATTCATGAATACAGCAGACAGCTTAATTTATCTTCGTCCTCGCATGCGTTATCGCCTGACGTCACTCTGACGCATCTGACCAATATCGACGCCATGTTCAGGCGAAAACGTGGTAGGCCACCTAAGAATCGCGTCATAGAGATCTGGTCAGGTGGCGACCCCACCACTCATACTCAGGACTCACCACAGGCTATATTCACTAGCTTCAAACTACCCAAACCCACCCCGTGTACGACGCCCAACGCCATCACGGATGACAGGGATGGTAGCGTCTCACCCTCGAATAGTTTGGGCGAACCTGAAGGATTTTCTACTTACAATCCTGAAGGTTGTCCCGACCCAGCCTGCGTCTTAAGATCCACTAGGCATCACCATTGCTCCCAGCCTCGCTGTCATTTTTCGACCGACAGACCGGATCAGCTGCTGATGCACAGCAAGGACTTTCATGACAACGTCGATATCCTCCCAGGATTTGCTTTCTTCGACAAGATGGTCGATTGCCGATTACCCGGCTGTCACAGTAATCGCGTCAATCGTCATTTTCACTGTACGAGACCAAATTGCGGATACTCTTTCGTGAGGTACTCAACAATGGCGCAGCACGAAAAACAGCACTCCGGTGGATTTCTCGAGTCTATGGTGCAGGAATCTGCCACTCAGGAGACACAGACGGGTCAGACCCAAACACCAATTCAAGAGATCAAACCGAGGATCCAGGTGAAGAATCCTGCAGACCTCATTGAGAAGCCCGAGGAGAGCCTAGACGAAAGCAGGTCGTTCATCGATGACAAGGAGAGGGAAATTGGCAGTCCGGATGCTAATAAGACAACCGGTAAGTTGACAGTTTACGGGATCGGCAAAGCCCATGTTGGTCTTTCTTTACATACTTAGATCAGTTTTTCTTGGTAGATATCACAAAACACACGCGACACCATCACCGATGTTTCTTATCAATTGCATAGACATTTTTGTACCTCATGATAAAGAGGCAATCGGGTGCAATGTGTCTGATGATGTTTTACACGAGCCTGTACCCAGGTGTAGCTATGCAATTGTTAAAGATCGTCTTCACACTATAATGCATGACGTTTGCACGTAGTCGCACCCACCATCATCACCGCCACAACATCACAATCCACCACCCGCCATGTTGACATCTAGAATCGTATAGTTATACTTATTGTTAGACTTTCCATCTCTTCTTGTTCCTTCGTTTGACGTATCTACATTCTACGGTGGTTGTATCGCATAATAGTGGGAGGTATTTGAAGTGTTGGTTGTTTGGTTGATTGTTGCTAGTGGTGAGGGCGGCAGGCACCTATTATCCGGTCAGCGGACCGCCGAGCGAACCCGCACTTCCGGGCGCCATGCTATCCATGCGAGCTTCCGTGCACCAAGGTTCGTGTCTGACGTTTTGTGCTTAGAAAACAACATCGTATTTTTGTTTTTAAATTAGACGTGACCGCCCGACCAGCCCTAATTTCGAACAACTGATCGAACGCAGCTTCCTCCTTTTCAGATACCCAAGTGTTACCCTCGACGAGTTCCTCGCCCCACATTCTCTACGGGCCGGAGCAGAGCTGCAGCAGACCATTTTGCAAGCTCAAACGCAAGAACCATCATCATTGCAACGCCTGCAATCAAGCCTTCTCCGAGCTGGACAGACTGGTGGCCCACATCGCGAAGCACTCGACCGGAGCCATCCTGAGCCAGCAGCAGCACGAGCTTCCGCCTCAGAACCCTGGACAGCAGCTTCAGCACGAGTACCTGGCGCAGCTTTCGCAGAAGCACGACTTCATGGCGCAAAACGCACAGATGGCGCAGAACATCAAAAGCTTTCAAAGCATGCAACGGCAGATACAGCAGAGTCTATCCATGAGTCAGCAGAGCAGTTCCTCAGGGGCTTCCGGTAAGGAGGTCAAGATCGAGAGTTCAAGGTGCGATTCGGCCGTTCAGAGCGTTCCGAATGTTAAAAGAGAACCCATTGAGTGTAAACGAGAAGACAATGGCGGAATAGTGGACAACAATGAGAACGGTTGCATGTCCCAGGGAGTGCTGCAAAACGTACAGCAATCTCCAATACCATCCGGTTTCGAGTTGGACCTCAGTCACGGTTTCCACTTTCCAAGTCCAGCAGTGATGGCCGCGATGAATCAGCAAATAGCCTTGATGAATCAGGCCCTGCCGCCGTTCCTCCAACATGGCGGAATGTACGCGGGGGGTCCTGGTCTGATGTTCGCCCCGGGTCTGCCGCCGGGGAACTTCCTGCCGCCCAGCCGCGATGAGAATCCCTTGGCATCCCTAGCGGCAAATCTGAACATGGGTAGCAAGCGTTCCTTATCACCGCCGGATTCGAACTCACCCGAGGCCAAGAAGCAGAGGCTGCACCACTCGATGCGTATGCTCAAGGACGAGCCTGTACCCGAGGGTTACGTGAGGTTCAGATTCAACGAGGACTGCAGGTATCCACACTGTGGTTACCGGGAGCATCAAACTCATTTCCATTGTATGCGACAAGACTGCGGATACTCGTTCTGCGACAAGACGCGTTTCGTTCAGCACACGGCGAGACACGAGAGGCTGGACACTCTGATGGGCGGCGACTTCCAACAGTACAGGGCGAACGTGCCGTGCGGAAGAGCTCAGTGCGCCTACACCTCCTCCTTAGGCTCGATGCAAAACAAGGCCTCGCACTTTCATTGCCTGAAGTGCGACTTCGTCTGTACCGATACGAACAAGGTCGTGGCGCATCGGCGGCAGCACGCGAAACTCGACAGTATCGCAGCAGCTGGATTTCAGAAGTTCACGCCGAGTCAACCTTGCGGCGCCGTACAGTGTCAACACTCCGGCAAACAGACGCATTATCATTGCTTGCAGTGTCAATATGCAGTATTGGGTCTTGCACAGATGTCCGCGCATAAGTATCGACACATGGACGGTTAACGTTAACAAGATATTCGTTTATCATATACGTCAATGCTGATCGGTAGAGGCTCCTAAAAGACTCGTCCCATCCAATCCCCACGTCCCTGTAACATTCCCACAAAGCCCTCCTTAAAATGCCTGAAAGACATAAAGAAACAAGACAAAATGAGTTTCCCTCTCGTGTGACGATGTAAGACAAAAGAGAGATGCGAGAAGAGCAATTGCGTGTGTGGTTGTGTGTGTGTGTGTGTGTGTGTGTGTGTGTGTGTGTGAGAGAGAGAGAGAGAGAGAGAGAGAGAGAGAGAGAGAGAGAGAAAGTATGTATAAAAAAACAAAATGGACGACGGAAAAAAAAAGACGTCCGCGACAATAAGAGACGACTCTATATAGCTGAGAGAGAGAGAGAGAGAGAGAGAGAGAGAGAGAGAGTATGTATAAAAAAACAAAATGGACGACGGAAAAAAAAAGACGTCCGCGACAATAAGAGACGACTCTATATAGCTTTAGCACGCAAAAAAGACAAACTAATATTTAATAAATAGATATGTATATATATCGTCGATATATATATAGATATATATGTATCCAGCCATCGAAACACGTCAGAATTATTATTGTATACCTGTCTCGAGTATGTCCAGGATCCATTAGGATTCGCATAGGTAGCTTAAAGTATATCGTGCAACGAGTAGCGAACCGTTGGATATACATGTAACTGTAATTAAAACAGGTTCGACGATGCAGCTCGGGATCGATAGGCGATCGTAATCGTACTCCTGGGAGCGATTCTCGGCTCTCCGTTCGATATGGATGCGAACGAAAGAAATGGGGAGAAAAATGTGTATAGATAGAGAGCGCGGTGCGGTTGGATGGGAATTGCGCCGGACGAACCTGAGAATTGTCGTTGGCCGTGCGCGACAGGCAGAATTGAAAACTAAAGAAACGACATAAAGGACAAAGTCAGCCACCGACCGAGAGACAGCTGTATCGGTGTGATCGCGCGGTAATCGTAACACGTGTGTAGAAAGGTAATGCAATATATATCCCATTCACGAACCATGTGTGGTCACTATAATCGTACTAAAGAAAATACTTCCCGAACGTACCGGTTCGGGTGGTACGTTATAATCGTATTACAAACAGTATTGAGAAACAATAATAAAAAGACTGCAAGCCGACGCGAGAGACGAGGAGAGATCGAGATAGAAAGAGACAGATGGACAGACAGAGAGAGAGAGAGAGAGAGAGAGAGAGAGAGAGAGAGAGAGGTTGCGGCCGAGGGAGAGGGGGTGGTCCCAGGGTGTCGGCAACAGCTGTGAAATGTTTATGAAGGCCCGACTAATTTATCACACTCACACAGAGTTACCACGCGTGCTGACTTTATCACACTTGCGCCATGCTTATACACGAGGGAGAGGAATCGATACGCCGCTGAACGGAAACAATGCGATGCGTATAAATCCGAGGAAAAAGACCAGCCGACCGAGCCAGTCACGTGTATTAAAAGAGAAATGAAAATAAGGAGATAGATCGAAATAGGAGCGTTATAAGGAAAAGAAAAAGAGAAAAAAAAGAGAGAAACGAGCAAAATGTCGTAAAAAAGTATATTGATAATATATATATAGGTATATACTCTGAATTGAGAGACTAAGTGACGGATCGGTAAAAAAATTTTTTTAATATATATATGTATATATATACATACGTATGTCACATCTATGTATATATATTATATGTATGTATAATCGAATTGTTAATGTAAAATTTTCTCCGTGCTTTCTTTATACCTAGAGGATGCTCAAGTCCCTATTTCGTGTTTAATTTTGGTTTGCTTATTGTTTTTTTTTTTGCCTGTGATCCATCCGCGTACCCCTCTTTACTTATCTCATATCACCCCTCAAGCCTGCCCTCTTGGATGCCCCAAAACTCATGCTAATCGAATCGCTATCAGCCTCCGTGGTTATACGGGCAGTGCAAAGCGCATCTGAATGTCCTGTGTTGTGTGGGTAATCCGCACGTTAAACTTCTTATCTCCTGTATTAATTCTCGCTCCCCTCGTTTTAGTAGACGAAAATGAAAAAGACAAACACTCGATAAGAAATGGCAAGGAAGAAACCGAAAGCCAGAATGAGAGAGTCAGACTGCGAGGTAGAGGGAGAGACGGAGAAAGAGAAAGCGAACGAAAGAATTACGATGGAATTTCACGAGATTACATCGAGCTGTGAGCCACGTATCTTTGTGCTTCTTCTTTTTTTTGGTTCATTTCTTTCTCTTCATTGATGGTTCAGGTCAGGTTGGTCGGCTATGTATTTATACGAAAGAAACTAGAAAAGACATACAGCGCATATTTTTTTGACGATATAGTAGCACGTAGGTATTATTAAAGAAATGATGAAAATAATGAAAAACTCGCTGATACGCGCCTAGGGTGCCTTTAGGGTGTTTCAACTTGTAGTACCGTGTGCCTTAGCGTTGTGCAACGGACATACAGAAAAAGTAAAAGAATGAAAAAGAGTGTATGTGTGTGTGTGACAGAGAGAGAGAGAGAGAGAGAGAGAGAGAGAGAGAGAGAGAGAGAGAGAGAGAGAGAGAGAGAG